TCCTGTCCTGGCGCAATTATTCATATGAATCCACACCAGAAGAGGGAGAAGCACTGGATGTGAGTTTTGCTCTTGTTAGGGCTCATCAGCAGTGCATATCCAATAGCCGTGCCGGGGTTCGAACTACGCTCAAGTACGAAAACGTTGGCCCGTTCAGACGTGAGAATTCAGATGCGTCCAAATTGCGCTGGTGGAATAGTGTTAACACGTTCACCTCACAGGTCAGGTGACCGGAGTCCAAACCCCGGCATGGCCATTGGGTATGCACTGCTGATGAGCTGTAACAAGAGAGAAACTCGAGTCCAGTGCTCCCCCCTTTGGTGTGGATTCACATGAATAGTTGCGTCAGGACAGGAGGACGACCTTTCGAAATCAGAGTGATGTGAAACTGAATTCGTTATTGCTTTTTCTTCTCGCAATACTGTTTCCTACCATTACGAATAAGTGTGTTGATATAATTGCTCTCCGTTTCCATTCCTGATGGGGAAGAAACGAACTCTTCAGAGACAGAAGCAGGCTTCAAAAATGACGGATTTGTACTTCAGCGTTGCATACTGGGCTTAAATGCGAAACAGTTAGACACAACACGCATATCACCTGATATTTAACAGGTTCCGGGCTCTTGCCTGTGGAAACGAGGCTGCACGGGCAGAAAATACAACAATACAATGTCATTTGATCAGAACCTTTAATTCCTTCCAGCACTCCACATTTTGAAATGTGGTATGAAACAATCCTTATTGCCATCCTTCCGGATTTACAACGACAACTTATAAACGCTGTTTGGTCAAATCTTCGTCACAGTGAGCAATAAAAATCTGTCCCGCCAGACGAGATAGAAGAGAAAGAATGTTCTTAGTAAGGTCTCTGTTGTCCCTTCACAATCTAGGGCGCCTCCGTGAGATAAACAGTACTAGTCTCTTTACACGTCTGTTTTCGTCCTTGGTGAGGCCCATCAAGCTTTTGCAACCTCCAAGTTTCCGTCTAACTTACATTCTATTTGAGCCTACATTTTGATGCCCGTTTTTCTCAGGAAGTTAAGAATGAAATTGCTCATCTATTTCTGCAGTTCAAAGCTGACAATCAGGATGACGACTTATGGAACGAGTCTGTTATTTCGAGTTTGCAATGTGGAATCGACGATACTAGCTGACTGTCTGATGTAGGCTACCAGAAAAATGGTCTTCTTACGGAGTAAAAGTAGTCCGACTGTACTTTTGCAGTTACTTAGACCGACCATGCTAGTCTTTGTCACATTAGCGAATACACGATAAGATGTCTTTAGATAGGTCATACAGCCAACGCAATACATTCACAGATCAGATAGTGACCAGGATTTTTCGATACCGCGGTGTCTTATACAATTGAAACATTAGTTGCTTACAGGCGTTTTATTTTGTCTGCAGTTATACGGCAAAAACTCCAGTCTATTATTTAGGCGTTGCACGTTTGCATTCTCAAGTCACTTTAAAGGAAAGTTACTGAAGCAGTCCGTTCGGCGTTTGCTATCCAACTGTACGTTCGTTGTATTCGTCTTCATGCTCAGTCTTTTTGTTGACAAGTTTTCAAGCATTGTGCATGCACTGCATTTCAGGAGGTGGGGATGATGTAAGATCTCAGAAGAATCTTGGAGAATCGCTGCTTCAAATGTCGGATTATTCAATTACTCCTAATGCGCTTGCCTCATGTTTTTTCTTCATCAGTTCTGGGCTATGTGCCATTAACAAGTCGTGGGTACATGCCATGTATGAGTGGTAGGTATTAGGTGAGAGCCTAAAGAAGAATACATCAGACAGAACGGACTAGGTTATCTATGTTCTCAGTGCGTGAAGCAAGTTCCAATCTTCCAGAGTGACCACGCAAAACGAGGACAGCTCTTATGTCTTCTAACAAGTACGATTAAAGTTATTACTTCTCTTCCTCGTAGCGTTTCTGCAAAAATCGGTGAAAAGAGGAAAATCTAAGTGTGGAACTCGCCTATGAGCTGATGAGTACAACGTATTTACCGATATCTCTGGTCAGTTGTTGGCGTTTATGATCATGCTACCTAGATTCGCGTCTTACCAACGAATATTACAATGTCAGTATGTAGCTGATCATTACAAAACTTTTTTTCATCCCAATAAGACTTAATTTGACGTACATTCACAAGACGTTGACAAATCAGTGTTTTCTATCCAATACGTGATTTTGAATGATGCTCACAGTGCCTGACATATTCTATTTGTATCTATCTGTGTAACAGGTTCTAGTGTGGTTCCGGCCAAACAAGTATTATGGAACGGTCGTCATTCGTTTGATCTATTGAAACGAAGTGGGTATAATCTGGGTAAGTTCGACCCAAGTTTTTGAACCACGGTTTTTGCGCGGTAACTGAAAAGTGCCTTGGAATTCGCAGATTTTCTGGCGTGGCTATGAATTCACTCGCATTGGTAATCAATGAATATTGTAACGCAATGCAGCACCCACGTTGTCTTAATCACTCCATACATAAAGAACCGCATTCCTAATTTCTGAGTAGTACGGTTATAGTATCTTCTTCGTAGGTATGTCTTTCCAGCAGTTGTGCTTTTCAAACCGTCTGGAATGCAGCATTTTGTCGTCTCACTACAGTGTAACCAAACGGAACTTATGAGCAAATTATATGCCCCCTACGACACATGTGACTGGTCAAAGCTGGCTTTTCGTAGAACCAGTACGTAAAGATGAACACAAAAAAGCTGTCTTTTGTGAGGTTAAACGAGTTAGCGTTGTTTCCTGATGGAGAATTTTATTCCTTCTCTAAAATGTTGAAGCAAATGTTTCATGGACAACTGCTGGATTTCGAAGATAACCGACTGTAACCAAACGTTTCCAAACACATTAACCGATTCCTCTTCTGGTAGGTTTCAAATCTGCGTACTTGATAGCACCTTAAATACGTTTGCTTGCCGCCTTTAAGATGCGCTTATTTGGAAGCAACAAGTTATCACGTCAATGGGAATGTTCTGAATCATATAGTTCAAATGTAGTATTACTTTCATGTACGACGCAGGGGACAGCCGTTCTAGGGTAACATGTCTGTGAGAAACGGAACTGTTTTGCTACACAATGAAACGGGGAAGCCAGATGAAGTCTGGTGATTGGGCCTTTTGTTGAAACTGCTCTTTGCTCTTTGCTCAGTTGGAGCAGACAACAAGCCGTTGATCGACTCCTGATGGAAAAAAAAACAAATTGCAATACCACTCGCTTGCCCGAAATGTAGCAGTCACGCGTGAAGCTGATTTCAACTATTCACTCATTTGTTTTTTAAGCCCTCAAGACAGTGGATTTTGCCTAGCCGTCCTTTCGATTGTAGTTTGCAGATATCACGTGAATTGTCAAAACGTCCACACAGGACTTCTGTGCGTGCATTCCTGAACCCTTGTGATTTGGCTGAGCCTGGTCAAACAAAACATTGCCAAGCTCGGCGAACAGATCAACAGCCACCTGATCAGCAACCAATAAACTCACCCGAGCTACCAATATTTCAACAAATTACCAAAACACACTGATTTTTCATCAAGGCCTGAAGAGAAATACTTGAGTATTTCTCAAGTTTTCAAAACTGTGAGAGATTCCGGGGCGCAAAGTCTGTGCGTTTTCAGTACTGTAACGTGCACTTCCAAATGCCCGGTCTTCTCTTTTATGTGAGTAATGTTGCGGTCCCAACAACACAGTTTGTATGGGAATCTAGACACTTTGGATTAATGGGTTTTTCTGGTAGAAAGGGTTCGCTAAACGTGGTGAAAAACTTGAAGTATGCATATGCTAAATTCCGTGGAAACCGCATGAAGTCGCTCGACTAGGTATCTGATGGAGTGATTCTGTGTTCTGAGTCTCTTCTTGCTTGCGACTGATCGAGTGTCTTGTCGATGAAAGGCAGCGGATAGTTGCCCTTCGAGTATTGTCCCTGGAAACTTGGCAAAAGGCGATACGTCATCGTACCCAGCATATCAAGGAAAGAAGCCTTGACATATGCTGTGATTTCTGTATATTTCAACTTAATTTGAACATTGTTCAGTAAGTGATAAAATTCCTCTGCTGGATGGTACAAATGCTGAGTATGCTGTAGCACCAGTTTCTATATCCTATTCTGCTCTACACAGCGTATTAAAATATCTGGAGACGCAAACAAACATATAGTTGCGGTAATGTTTTGTTGTTCCATTCATCTTTCAAGGCAATATCTTCTAGAGAATTGGAGTTTTGCGTTCATTTGGGATTAGTGCAATGGACTCCCGCGAAAATCAAATGCAGCAGAGACGGATTGAATCACCAGTCCTTGGAGCATACCCTGTTCACCACTCGCCGAATCATTTTCACGGAGGTCATCGATTCTTGTAAAACTAAATAAAGCAATTCATTCAATTCAAACAGAAGAGGGCACAGACATTTGAGGCTCATCAAACTTATCCCAAAAAGTGCAGCTAACGAATAACGATTCCGATTTTCCGGTGTTCACAGAGAAATAAACGTCCTTACTTTAGCTAAACGGATTGTACTGCATTGTGATGCTAAACCAGATCTCATCTTGCTTGACACCTGTTTCAGGATGGTTGATCTTCATAAGGACTATTCGGTCAATTTGTTGATCGCAACAAAACTTACATAGATTATAGCATCAAGGTCGTAGTTTGCTTGAAAGGAGTTCAGTGGATGCACTTTATGCAACGTGAAAGATAACCTCTGCTACAAAGCAAAGAGAACAAAGCCATGAGTTATACATAATGCACTCACAAACTGATATCTAACACACCATTTTATTCAGCTCCTCCAACGCTGTATATATTGTTTTCCTTCTATTTACAGATGGCATGGATCCGGATGAATTTTACGAAAAAATCCTCCCCAAAAATGAGTTCATCGGTTAGATCGGATGTTCATTCTGTGTTAATCCTATGCTTCTGCACAAAATAAAGTATCGAATATGAACAATCACTTATGTATTATATTATCAGTATGCAGATGCCTGTCTCCTGCGCTACTAGATGCGTAAGAACAGTGAAAATATCAAAATGCCTGTAACAAATTGATAAGTGATTAGGTGTCAGGTTCCAATAAGTTCATTTGACTTTGCTGTGAGTGACAGCCGTGTGATACGTGGCAGTGTAGGGATGCAGTGTAAATTCTTCAACAGGTGAAGTTCGTCGTATCATCTTGGTGGTCTTAGCTGGCCAAGGCAGAGTTAACACTTTTATGCAAAGTGTTCAATGACTCAGAGAGCGTGTAATTGCTGACTGCTTCGACTGGTGACGCTCCATAACAAACTATGTTCGTACAGATTAATTTGTTGGCGATCGCTTGTGTTACGTTTTTACAGAGAGTGAAAAGTGTACAGACATTCCCGGAAAAAGACGCCGGTTAGAAAACCTTGTGTTCTTATTTTTTTTCGAGTCAACCGAAATGAAAGTCCACACTAGCCTGATCCTAATTACTGGACTCCTGGTCGGATTGCTGTTGTTTTGTAATCGGTCGGTTCGGTAGAATAAAGCTTCAGCAAGCGAAACACCTCCCAGCGTTTTTGTGATGGGTAACGTTAGACTGGAAAATGGTTGGTATAAGCTGTGCGGGTGACACTACTGGAGGTGTGCTGAACTATACTCAGGAGAAGACGAGGGAAAACTATTGCTCTTTGTTCATTAAAGATAGACTGAACCAGTGCAGTCAGCGAGACTTCATTATTCTAAGACTTCCCCACGTACGTCAATCCATCCCCTAATAGACCCACAGGGTCGAAAATCACAAGCCGACTGTTAAATTACTGTCTTTAAAAAATTGTTGTCCCAGAACTTTGGATTTCCTTCAGTTCTAGCGCACGGTTGATGAAAGTGACGCAGGACTAATGAGCCATGCAACGCCGGTTTAAAGTTAAGTTTAATTTTTCTGGAAGAAACCAACGACCTGGGCAAAAGCCAAACAAATAACGAATGCCCACAAGTCTACAGGATTTCAACTAAAGGCAAGCAAACAGTTGGTCAGAAGTATCTTATAACCACCATACGAAAGACCTTTTTCAGTGGTTTCTTGAAAAGACAAATCTTTCGTCACTGATCGTAACGTCCGAAAAAATAAATTTTGCCTCGGTTGACTCAAGGTTTCTTACGTAGAAATACAACCAACTGCAGATAAATAGCACTGCTTTCCTCAGATGTGAAAGTCATGAATGAGGGGGGAAGTTGAACCACAATATCTTTGGGAAATTAAATCGCGTATACAGTTTATTCCTCTGTGTTAAATTGCTAACCTCATCTACAGTTTGAGAGAAAGGGTAGGATAAGCTGAGTTATGAGATATGAATGGTTATGTAAGTTTCTTTTTATCGGAAAGATGCCTAAATGACTTTGTGCATTGTACTATACAACTGAGTTGAAGTCAATAATTAGTGCTGAAGAAATCGGGTGTGTTTGAACCAGAGAAATTTCCATTATAATGGTTTCAACCAACCACTTGGCTAAACTGACCCTATTCTTCAAGTTCGCCTTAATCTTTATCCAGGATATCAAAGACCGTCTTGTTTCTTGGTCTCCCCATTTTTCGGGTTTGCTGTTTCATCTGTCCTATCATTCTGGTTACGCCTGTGGAAAATACATCGTTCATCAGATAAAAAAATTTGCACACCAGTGCCAAATCAGTACATATTAGGGAATAGACGGCCGATTTTCAGCGCACTCAGGTCGCAACTCATTGCTGCCAATCTTCAGGTCATCTGAGCGGACTTCCGATACGTTTTAAGTAAAGTAAGACCATGCTGTTGAATTTTATTTGAAGTTGCTGAGCGACCACAACCAATCCTGTCCCGAGTAAACTCGTCGTAACTAACAGAGATCGAAGGAAAAAAATTCAAAAATTCTTGAGCTTGATGGAAAACAAGAACACATCCATTTTGTGCGTCGAGTACAGAATATCTGAACAAGTCCATGAATTGGTTGTGATCGATGGTCCTGCTCCTAATTTGGATATAGCTACCAGATCAAAGTGCGCGTGATGTAGGATGTTCCCAACAACATCGCCCTCTACCTCTGTTGGTGCATTCTGAGTTCATGTCACAAAAGCCGCTGCTGAAGGGATAGTGAAAATAATTGTTCATTCCTCAACACAGTTCTCATTCAATTTGATCCAGGGTCCGATAAAACGCAAAATATGTGTCCTCGTCGAATTACCTCACTCATGAAGATTGGTATTCTGTTCATAGTCACAAAAATGTCTCCAAGACCTGTTGAAAAAATGAAAGAAATTGAAATTCGAGGGTAGTTAGCTGGATTATGCTTTCTTTCAAAATGCATGAAACTGAGTGAACTCATGATGCCTGTCTAACCGGTGAGGAAAATCTTTTGCAATAATAGCAATATAATTACTTAATTGTGGACACTTGTGTCCAGCGGTAGTTATTAGACTATAAGAACGAGGAATGCCAAAATAGCTCTCATGTGTTACCGCCAGAATAGGAAAGTGACATGGAATGGAAAGTGAAGAAACAGAGGGGAGTGTAAGCTGATAAAATGAACATCGTGAATACATTGAAATTTCTTCAACCTATCAGCGTACGAGGCGGGAGTGTCTGCTGATATATGATATGATGATATATACGATATACTTAGTAAACAATATAGTTTACATTCTTTCCCACTTATTGAAATACGATCAATGACACCACTGAGGGAATATCGTGTACTCTGATCAACAAACGTTCGCAAAATAGTTCTGGAATTATGAGAATACAAACTATCTAACTGTAAGTATTTCGCGACTGTTTGGCACGATACACTTCAGAGAAATAGAAGTCAAAGGAAGAGCGATTGGGTGAGGGGTACGTCAATGGGTCACGGAGTCAAGTAGAATCTGATAGTGGGGCTGGAGTTGAAGCTCAAACATACACTTCCCACAAACACATAGTTTTTGAGGGAGTCGCTCCTGTGATGTGTTCTGGTGAGAATTACCTGCAGACTCTTGGTTGCCCAATGCATTATGGTTTTAGGGAAATGAGGTGCTTTGATTTGCACTGTAACTTATGAAGGTCCATATTTTCTGAATGGTGATTTCGGGGGCGATTAACAAACAAAAAGTATAAATTTCAAACACAAAGTACGGGGGACTAGTAAGCACCAACTTCATATCACAGAGTTCACTTCAAGCTTTTCAGCGGAACACGAGTGCAGTGCTGTCCGTCTCCGATGTGAACTCATCAGGACAATTGCAAAACTGTTCAGACAAGAGTGTGAATGAATAAAGGTCATTGGATTGATCAGACACAGACGGAAATTTTCGCCTGGAGGTAACTAAATGTGATACGCGTATTAATCCGACCAGCCACCAAATGCTTTTTATTCAAAATGTGTGAAGTTTTGGAAATGAATCAGGTAGTGGATGGCCTTATAAACCCGATGATGAATTTTTATCATACGTAATCAAAGTGGTCCTAAACGAATTGGCTTAAAATCTAAGAAAAAGATGCCGTAACAGAAGGCTGCTCTTTAGAATTGCCTTGTTAGTACGTTATCAGGGGACGAAAGCGAACGACAGGATTCGAGTAGGTTTTAGTTGTTTGAGCGGAATCTGCTCAAGATGAAATGCGGTAGGAAGAATGCTCACTATTCTAATCAGCCATCACCGCGAGTAGTTTTTGAGTCCTAAAACATAGGAGAGGTTTCTACGGGGTACTGGTTTTCTCGGGGCGTCCAAGTAATAAACACTGTGCTCGAGATGACTCAGTTGCTGAGGCGTGAAGTTACTGACCGGAAGGCTGATGGTCCCAGCCAGTCTTCCTTACTTCAACTGGTCCTGTCTTGGTTTCGCCAACCTGGCAGTAGCTAAGCTCTTTCGCTTCCTTAAATTGCCGAAAGGGTGTTACGGCTGAATAAAGAGGTGAACGTAATAGGTAAGGGTGAATTACAAATAGTTCTCTTATTTCTATGCAAGCCATTATTCAGTAGGCGTCTGGTAGGCGTCTTGTCCTGCAGAGATAATCAACGCCCAAACGGTTTACGATTATTGTAGTTCTACCTGACAATTTTAGAACGGTGCAAATTGCCAAAAATTTTCATGAACTAATTCATTTCTGTTTTTTTAATTCTCATTCTTTGCTGTTGCTATGTATGATGTTTCTGATATTTCTGTAGAAGAGCAGTTTTTCACAGGGGCTTTTATCCCCTTCACTTGGTTATCGTGGTACAGATCAGGTGAATAGTGTGAGCTCATAACTGTACTCATATCGTGTGATCAGTTTGTCAAATGGCAGGAGAAAGATGATGCTGATAGTTTCTGCAAAAAACGTTTTCATACAGATTCTGCGACAGTAAATTAGCTAATAAGAGGGGTAAGCACTTACCGCTTCATCAGAAAGTTCGTTCAAGTACAACAAACAGATAAGCGGAAAAGTTGTGTTGCCTAAAGACCATACTACTCCACCCTTTCGGGGTATTGTCCGTGAAACGGGATGGACTAAACAGGGGATCCAATGAAATATATTTCTCTCTTCCTAGTGGCTTCTCGAGAAAAAGATTAATGTAATCTAACTGCCAAGTAATTATTGTATTATACTTCCAAAGTACTCGTGCTAGTTTTTATCAGACCTTTGCAAATCGCATACACACCAAAGGGAAGCACTGGGCTCAAGTTTCCCTCCTATTAGAGCTCATCATCATCATCATCCAATGGCCGTGCNGGATTTGAACCCCGGACATCTGACATGCGAGGCGAGCGTGTAACCACTACTCCACCAACGCACGTTGGACGAATCTGAATTCTCACATCTGAGCAGGCGAACGTGCTCATACTTGAGCGATGTGATTGGTGTGCCTGACTCATCGAACGACGACCCAGGAACTGCCTTGGTTGTGACGATCGATTAACCCGCCAGTCAGGACTTCCCCGTCTGGATGCGTGACAAATGCTTGAAACATAATCATCAACGTAACAACAAGAGTAAAAATAGCTTAGATCAATGGACATCTGTCCTGTCGAAGCCCTCATTCCCAACTCGGATGAAGTCTTGCCTTAAACCGAATTTTCAACGGCATCTTGCAGCAACACAATCCGAATCATAAGTGCATCAGGTGTGCCCTCAAAAACTTGGAGCCTTGGTGGCCTGAACTGAAGACTACGCTAATGTTCTGTCATTATTCGTATCATTCACTGACCAGTCCGAACTCGCGTACCTGAAAACCGTGAATCATAGAGATCCACCTGTTAACCACTGTGAGAGTCCTCACTGACTTATCGGGGTACTACCCTTTCAAAAATCAATCCTGCAGTCGGGTGACCAGTGCACTCGCATTCAAAATGGCTTCCGCAGCTGTCAGCTTAGTTTGAACTTGACGAATGCAGTTACACGAACGTTTGTTCATGTCTGTCCAAGCAAAGTGAATTGTTCGAACAGGTTCCGTCAGAATCGAGATTTTACAGAATGGTGGACAACAAATAGTTTCGATGCGCCCGAGCGATGTGAAGGTAATGAATGCTGATCACATCCAGGAAGACATTTGGGGTCTTAATTGCGGACTAACAGATACCGATTTTTCTTCGTTGTTTTAAACAACGGATTTTAGTGTTCTACAAAAATGTTACCAAGGAACCTTATTCACACATCAGCTAAACGATGTAATAACGTAGATTGCGTCGCTTTCCGAAAGATAAATTTTTCATCCGCGTCGATTAGAGACTTGTGGTTTGTTTTAACTGTTACGATTAGTGCGTTCAGTCGGAGATCTATGGTGCCTTGAGCTGTAATGCAATCGGCAGAAAACTTTGAAGCCTAACTATTGACAAGTTATCAAATTCCAACTGGGTGGTTCAAGGCAAGGACAAAGCTTCATACATAACCTATGCTTCCTGACCTTTGTTAAAAATTAGTGCTCAACCTATGCAGTTCGAGTCTTGGGAGAATCAATTCCACTGTTGCTTCATTCAGATCCGATTGCAACTTTCTACTCGAACGAAAGGATAGGATATCTAGCACAGCTCTTGTAGCATTCCCTAGAGTCTTTGATACCGCGACCTAATGAACACTGAGCGTGGCGCAAATATGCTACCCAGCAGAACGAAATAGAAGAGTACCACGGCAGTATATCGTGGAATGTAGTATAAAATAACAGAGCAGCTACGTAAACGACAAAATACATCAGGTGGCAAATAGGTGGATATAAAGTGAACAGAACGTACATCAAAGAGAACGTATATCCACCAATGTCAAATCAGCTTATTAGAAACTAGCCTGTGAAAAGCGAGAAAACAAAAAAGACTACACGTAAAATGGGCGTAGAGTGAATCTTAAAGTGGCTATGACATTTAGATCTTTTATCTGCATGTGTGAGGCAACATTTAAATGAGTAACACAAGTGCGCTGTGGAGAAAACCAACTGATAATACAGTTCTGGAAATCACCCGTTTAGGAAGAGGCCAGTCGTGATTAATCAACATCTTGTCTGCGGCTCATGACAAGAGGTTGATTCACTTGGAAAGCAAAATTAATTAGCTACGACAAAGCATTCTGCATTGCGGTGGATAGACCTTGTGGATGAAGGCAAAATAATCCGTATTGTAAAAAAACTGTTAAAAAACATATCTGATTTACAGGTTTATTCATCATTGAGTGATCAATAAATTATACTAGATGGTGGCGGCGGTTAGGTCGTAAAACAAGTCGTAAGACACCAGGATCTTAAAGTACTAGTACCTCTCCGCATCATGGTGGACGAATTACCGTCAGTATGGTAGTTGGGAAAATACAAACAAATTGTTTGTGAAATTGATGGTACCCGCGGTATTGACTTCGAGGCAATCCAGTGAACTTCTTGCATAAATTTCTTGTCACTTAAAACTAGAATGGTTTTCATACTCGGGGAGGAAATGCGATGGCACCTGAATCACGTGATGACACCTGTGGTACTGACGTGCATTCGAAATCTGGGGTACTCAAAATATATCTGTGGTTATATGAAAACTGTGACCTAATTTAGATGTTTGGTATGCGTTTGATCGGTTAATTAGGTGAGTTACAAATCAAGTGCCAATGTTTCTTTTAAATAAACAATAAAAATGCTTTTATTTTCATAAATTCACTGCCGACAGATTTAGATGTATCCATAAAAGTCTCAATCGACTGTTCACTACTAAAAATCTTATTTACGGTTCAAAGTTCGGTGGTAACGCGCTAACTGCTGTCTCCCAGCAGACAGACCATGTGTAGAGATCGATTGATACAAACCGATTTGCGCAAAAATAACATGTAAACATCAGGTCTCTTTTCATTCTCTCAGTCTTCTGAAAAACCAAACTGGGAGAAGACGTGTGGTTATGCCTCAATCGTATGTGAACGAACCCGGTCTTTTACTTCGATATTCAATAATAAATGCCGCACTTATCAAGCCTGGTCAGTAGCCATCACTCTATCCTACTGCTTCATTAGACCGAAGGATGAAGTGTTAACTTTGAGGAGATGACTTTCCTCGTTGTTCAAATTATCATGCCACATGAAATTTGCTATCGATCGTCCGGAAGCACTTGGTCTGTGGTTTGGTTTACTGTGCACTCTCTGGTAAATGCCATCAGCACCGACATTTTATTTTATATCATCGCGTTTCAAAAACGATAAAGAAATTTAGAATGCCTAATTACCTACTATCACAGAATAAAGTAGTATATAATAAATGCACCAGATATTTGCTGACATCATCAAAGACAGCAACATCAGTGTTGGCATTGATGCTTCATTGCCCTAATGATGTTTCACCATTCACGGGATTTTTGATTTGATAAGAAGTCCCCTTCACCGTCATCCTAGGAGCCCACAATAAGGCTGGTATACACGATGAAAAAGCGCCGCAACATCAACCTAAGTTTGAATTGCGCGCATTTACTCTGAAGCGGTGTTTTCGTTCAACCTAGGTAAGTTGTTCACTTTTTTGGACCACTGCTTAACTAAAAGAGCGCTGTTCCAGTTAGGCACTAAAGTCATTAGTTCACAGTTGTTCCTGGATGTTTCAGACAACTTTCACGAATACAAACCTACAGTCCACAGTGAATAAACCACATGCGACAAATTGTGCCACCTTGAAGGAATAAATGCCGTCCACAATTCCCGCATCCTCTGACATTTGAAAAGTTATGCTCCACTTAATAACTTGGGACGAGTACTACCGACATAATCATTTATTCATACAAGAGAGTCCTGCTAAATCAACGAAAAATGGATATTTTCGGGTTCTCGATAATTTGCGTCCTAAAGTCGGTTGCTTCACTTACTTTCAGCTCGGTTACGGTAAGCTATTCCGCAAATCGTGCCCAGGTCCAACTAACAATTAAGCCAAATCATGTTCAGCTGGTGAGGTAGGATAATTGGGACATCTGTCTCCGAATTTTGGTCGGCAAGTGTAGTTGAATCAAAGGCCATTCAGTCGTGTGCCTTCTCTTCTTGTGGTTCATCAGGTGTGGGTAGTTCCGTCGACATAATGTTCTACCTGACCTCAGATTGGACTAATTTCAACAAATTCACTCATTTTCAGCTTATTTGGTTTTCAGGAGGGGACTCAGTTGAAGCTCTTGTTTATGAATGAATGTTCTGCACAAAAGCCGCGTCATGTTTCAGCGCGTACAATATTCGGGATATCGCATTATATTTTGATGAGTAGTTTCATTTATGACAATACACTGCGATATCTCGTATATCATATCGACTGAAGCATTGGGCGAATTTTGTGCACCACGTTCAGTTGAGAAATATCACAACTTGGAGATTAAGTGGATTCCCTCGTGGAAACAAAACTGATATGAAAACTTAAGGGATAATCAGTTGTTCTGCACGGGATGTATATTTAAGACTCCATCCAGATGCTTAAGGAATCGACAGTATGAAGGATTCGAAGTTCCTGTTTTTAACGTCATATCACGTACCTGTTGCTATGGGTGATTGCGTTCAGCTCATTCAAAGACAGGCATCGTAGACAGATAACGAGTGTTACAAAAATCGTCTCTTGCACTAAGCGGAATAACGGGATCAAAAATAGTCTGTTGGGCGTTCACACGCCTCGAAAGCGTGTTCACTGGTACACAGTTCTTCCGTTTCGAAGCGGCGACATCCCATGTGATAGGGAAATTCCTTCCCCATCGAGGTGATCCCTTCGATGGGTAGTAGTAGTACTGGCACAAAGCAAAAAACCGATGTTGTAGTATTGATAAAAGAGTTCGTGGCAAAATGAATCACTTTGAGATTTTTTATCTAAGATACATGTTGGAAAATGTTGACGAGAAAACACATTTCATGTCCGAAACAGGAGAATCATAGTTTTACGAGGATTTTTTGTGGGATGTCTTTGGTCATTCATACATTTCAGCTGAAAACACGATATTGGAGAATGTAAAATGTACATGTGTGTAAATGTAAACGTGTGTAAAAATACCAGGGACTAGGACGAGCCTAGAAAATAACACCCCGTAGTCGTATCCCTAAAAGTATGGGGTCAAAATCATATGATCCAAGCCTTATGCAGTAATAACGGATTGGATTTTATCACAGGTAATTCGTAGGGGTGCTCAGTTGACCACTACCTGGTAACGGTGACGAATGGATAGCCGAGGTAATTATGCCCTGTACTTTCATAAGTTCTTCTTACCTGTGACAACTAGTCGTCTACTTGACACGTACGACATGCTTTCCCAAGATTACCGTTACCGTTCTTCAGATGAGTGCCAGCATTATCTGACTTATCTATCCATACAAACAGAAGATCTTAAACGGGATGAAATATACAGAGGCGTAATGTATTTTTATGAAAGAAGAGCAATCTATAACAGAAACAACCGATGCGTTCAGTCTCGATCACCATCCACATGGAGTAGAGTATGAAAATTAGCT